TATATATATATATGATCGATTGGTATAATCAACATCACAAAACTGCATATGTCTTATTTTTTAATAATCGCAAGGTGAAGTAATAAAAATTATTGCAGGAACATTATTTTAATTGTCTATTGCAATTTTCGGCGATGTAAGATGTATTAGTGCATGGATCTCCAGAAAAACGTTTTTATAATTAAAACGTTATGTATATTTTCTTTTATGATTACGAAACTTAACAAATAACCTCATAAAAAATATTTAATTTTGTATCTTTTCGTTGACTTATATTTATAAATATATTTATTATTCTTAAAATATAGCAGTTTAAATTATATATACAATAAACATTTTATATATATTGTTACAGGTTATTAAATACTTTCATGATATATTCAAATACAATATTTTACGAACATTAACATCGTAAACTGCAAACATTAGTAAGTGGTAATCGATCGAGAAACGTCCATCATAAATAAAGGAAAAGGTTATATTTGGTTAAAACGGGTTCTGAAGGTTAATAATTAAGGCTCGCACACTTTTTCGTGTGAATTCTCATGTCACGCAAAAAGCACCCTTGCACTCTCGCTCTCATTCTTCCGATAAAAAAAATATATATATAAACGTATACTTGACACGTGAAACATCGTGTCTCTTAAATCATTGACATATAATACTGGATGGAACATTAACATCGAAATCACTTTGGCAGATCTAGAAAGAGATAGAGATACTTGGATAGTAGTGAATCATGTAATCAAGGGTCCTGAGGCATTAAGTACTTAGATACATCTGTGCTCAGAGTGTTACTTTTGCATAAAATACACGTAGAAACCATATTTTAGGTTTTATTTTGTATCTAATAATTAATAATGTTTAGAATTATCGTACTATGTTAATACTAGTCAATTCTGAGGGCTGCTAATTTTAAAGAATACAATATTGTCCTCCCTCTCCTGAAACATAATTTGACCAATTAGGACAAGAGTAGAAAGAGAGTTCCGTGCTTAAATATCTACCTTACTCTTTCTAGGTCCGTCAAGACGAAAGATCAAAGAGATTTCGCTGCATGTTCCGTCCAGTGTATGTCAATGGTATAGATATGTGTATAATAATATATGTGTCTTTATAAAGATACATATATATACAAAATAGTAGTTAATATAATTAAAATAATTTTTTGGAATAAAGAGCTCTAAACAAAATGACAAAGTTAAAATCGCTGAAGCACACAAATAACAAACTCAAAATCAGGCTCTCAAACTATGATTTATCAGGGATAAAGTAGGACTACCTTCATAAATAGTGTGTTCTGGGAAACGCTATTAGCGCTACTTCTGTCATTCTATCTCGTTTATTAAACGTAAAACAAGGATAGAATGACACAAATAGCATCTCTTTGAACGTACCTATAATTTCCCAAACAAGATACTGATATTAACTCGCCTATGGTGGACTATGATTCAGTTAATCATTCAATTGTACCATTCAATATAAATTTCAAAATAAATAGAGCCAATTGTTGTCCGAAATTATATAATTCATTCCTATATTTTTCTGATTTCAATATTTCTATTTATAATATTTTCTATATTTCAAAATATTCTAATTTTTATCGCAACTTAATTAATTTATCCCGTTAATCAATATAACAAAAAATACAGTTAAGATACATTACCAAATTACAAACATCTGCTAAAATAAAAAATGTTTAATGAACTTCTATAATTTTATGTGATTCCATAATTTTATATAATTCCATAATTTTATATGATTCCATAATTTTATATGATGTTCTCTCACAAATATCGGATAATAAAAATCCTCGATAACTAATTACATCGATTGAATATACGCCCCTCTCAGAGTACCTTTACTAGTTCATCAAACTCTTCTGAAAATCGGCGCAAGCGCTTTGTCATATTTCGACACAATGAGTTCAATGAGTTGTCTTTCCGTAGCAGTGCATCGCACAGTTTCGTGCGGTGATCGTGTCAAATTCTAAATGTGCCAAAAAGCGACATATCAAAAAAATATAACGATTATAGTTTAAAATTTAGTCAATGGTCTCTCAAATTAATCGATGCATGGCCACAAATAAATACGTCGAGTTCAGTGCGAAAAATCTTTAATTTATAACAAATTCTCATTTGCTCGAGCATAGTAGCATTCATAACGATACTGTGTTTCTTATATACTTGTATGTATTATTTGAAAAAGATAATACCAAACAAAAACTGACTGTTGTTGCGCCATTGCTTCACAGAATTATGGGTTAGATAAATTATGGAGTGCTGCTCAAGTGAAAAAGTGACATCCACAAATTAATACACATGCATTGGAGTCTCGTATAAAGAATAGATAAACTTGAAGTGATAATAACAAGTTAAATACAGTCGATTCGTCGTTATGATTTGTGCAATAATCATGCATGGCGATACATTTCTGTTTAGCATAGTGAGTGACTAAAACCCTATCATTATCGGCAACGAAACTTTTAAGATATATCTGATGACGTGTCCGAATTACAACAAAATCATCGGTATAAAATCAGTCTTAGTTGGTTGTACAGTTTCCGTCAATATTTATAGTGAGTTCATCTACTGCCGGGGGCAGTCTGCTGTCTTTTGCGATTCATATCAATGGACAATTGAAAGTGCTTACGGTATGTGAACTGTCGAAAACCAGCATAAGAGAAATGATACAGCTGAACGAAAACTGGTTATTCGTTGAACATCATCTGAAAATATTGAAGTATTTCATACGTAAGTATTCGATAAAAAAATACATATCTTCTAGAGCTTTATGAAAATCTCATAATCAATTATTTAAATGAATTTATATATGTAAGTAATAATAACACAGGTCCACAAAAAAAGTACCCTCTGCTAGGGTGGAGACTCAGCTATTCTTATGTATTTTAAGTCGCTGAATACGAACCTGACATCAAAATTTATCTCAAATCAAACCTGGACAGTCCTATTTTGATGTCAAATTCGTCTATTCAGCGACTCAAAATACATAAAAATAGCTGGATCTCCATTCCAGCACAAAATACTTTTTTTGTGGCCTTGTGTAATTAATAATTTAAAAAGACATTCTTCTCAGAATTAAGTTAAATTTATTTTTATTTTCTAAATTATATACTAAAAGAGAAAAATTGAATTGTGATCGTAGAGTATCAATTCAAAATGTGATAACTTATTTAAACAAATTTTACTGTGATGTATTCATACACTTCAGTTTCATATCATGATTAAAAAATATGCATAAAATATCTCTTCTGGAATCAATATCTACAATAATTATGTGCTTATTTGGGTGTTAAACTATTACAATAAACTATAGATGTAAGAAAATAACTCTCCTAGATACGTAAATATAATTTATTTATGAGAAACTAAACTGTTCGTTCTATTAAAAAATGTGTAAGATGATATATAATATAATAAAGATAAATCTAATATTTTAATTTTATTATAGTAAAAGACATTATATGTTTATGTTAAAATAATTATTATTAAAACATGTCTTGAATTGTTAACATATTCAATTTTTAATATATTAATTTAACATAAAATGAATGTGTTATAGCATGAATTGTGTTGTTTGAATATTGTATTAAATATTAATATTTAACATTTTTTAGTATTAAAACTAAATTTAACTTAATTCTGAGAAGAATGTCTTTTTAAAACAATTTATGAATAAGCGAAAAAATAACAATACATTTTTAAAACGTAAATTCTAAAATAAAGGTATAAAATGAGAATTAATTTAAATTACAAATAATTTTTTACTGAAGAAATATGCTTTTACAATTTGCTTTTAAACTGTACTGTTTTATTTCCTGTGTTAAT